GTCTAATGAGATGACAATTATCATGTGTTTTAATGAATATTTAATTTTCAGTGTCGATATTCTCGTAGTTAGCGGTCGTCGAGCGGACTCTAATACGGGTCCGGCGTCTCAATGTCCGCAGTCTCTCAATATTATTGAGTCGATTGAGTCTAGCGTTGAAACCGGGCTGACCTAAACCAGGTTGGCCTAAACCCGGCTGACCTGCAATGTTTTGACCACATTTGGATACCAATGATAGCATAATATATGGTTAATACTATTACATACCAATTGGGAGCTGTCCCGGAATGGGTACCCCTCCAGGCACTACCCCTCCAATGGGTATTCCCGGACCGATCCCCAGATTATTGGTCGGCACGAAGAGTATAAGGAGCTGTCTTTGCCAGAAGAGGGTCTCCTTCTTCGGCAACAGGTCTGTGGGTATGTCAACACTCACTTCGTTTTGGGCCAAACATTCATAGTTAGCGTTTAGTATATGTATTGAAACAATCAATACGTGTCTCCAATGCATAGTTTTGGTGATAATTATAGGCGACTAATAAATAATCATAAATTTGATTATAAGTGTTAACATTATTGTGTTCAACATATTTGTAATTCCCATTCACTCTCTTTCTCTCATCACTCGGAAGACCTAATTTTAAGTTTTATTTTGTTGTTGTTTTGTTGAATAAATATTTGTTTTATATTTGCAAATATGCTTTTATTATAATAATTGATTGACTTTTTTAAGCATTTATTAATAGGAAATATGTAAAATATTTTATTAATATGTTTACTGAAAATACTGAATAAATATTTTTATATACAATTATAGTTCATAATCTACTGTACGGTATGTTTGATGAAACTATTGAGTAAATCTACTATGTATTTAACAATTTGCTACAAAATACAATTAAATACTGATAATTTAAGCTATAATATTCAAGTAGTGCAAATTAAGCCTAATTTAATCATAATGCACTCAACGAATTACATGGTTAAAAATAAATGTGTTGTATTTATTTTGTTGTTATAATCACATGAATCGATAGCTTTTCTGAATAGATGACAATTGTATAAATTGAAAATGTGTTACACAAACATTACATAATACATTGTACAATAATCATGTACTCCCAGGTTGTGAATAATTAATTTACAGTAATGCAAATATTATCATGCTCAATCAATTGTATACACAACACACCAAATGAGAATTAATTGTCACAGATCTATCACACTTTTCAATGTAACATTTTCTCATCAGTTATATTGTGCTGAATTTTATTACAATAATAATTAAAAATTGATATTTAATTAGTTTTTATAATCACTTTTTATTTATTAATCATAATTTTCTTCATGAGTCTAACAAAATGTGTTTTGTATTTTATAATCAATTTATTGGCAATTTTAATAAAAAGGTTTCTTACAATAACATTAACGTTATTATACATACAATAGACTTTGGTATATCTCACGAGAAACAACTTAATAATTTAAATTCTTACAAACAATTTCAAACAATAATTTCAGAAATAACTAAACCATCAAATCATTAGATATATTATGGGATCAATTAAATCAAAGATTAAAATGAGCGAAAGTAATGCAAGAGTTAATGTACCGGCCGTTACAGGCGGTCCGTCCCGTACGGCAACAGATCCCACACAATCGCAGAGCACTCGAGATATACCAAACATTAATGATTTTTTACCCGACGAAGTGTTGGCTATAATTCTGTCCAAATTAGACCTCAAATCGCAAGCGAAGGTCGAAAGTGTGTGCACTCTATGGCGACAAATAGTGAAAGAAATATTCGCCACAAAACGGACTCTTATTATCAATGAGAGTGAATGCGATTCCCGAATGAAAGAGTCAATCGATCACAACGACTGTATCTTTGTGTACGATTTTGTGTCCACTTCGGCGCCGGAGAAAGCGATCCGTAAGGCAATCGCACAAATTGTGGCCAAATTTGGGGGCATTCGTTGTCTTGTGGGCACATTTGATGGACTGAAAGTCAATCTCATCAAAACGTTGTGCAAAGGATGCGAAGCCGATATCAATAGCTTTCAAATTATATACAAAAACAAAGAACGTCTTCAAATCACAAAATCAGAGATACAAATAGTGGTCAATAAGTTTCCCAATTTGACCGACTTTTATATGAGTGCCAATGATATTAAGATCACTGAGTCTACTGTTCGTCTACTTTTAAAGCGTTTGCCGGCGTTGAAGAGATTCACACTGAAAGCAAATTTAAGGTTAAGTTTAAATTCATTTAAGTTATGTGAAGTCGATGTGTTTGAACGCATGAATGTCGGCATTCAAACCATTACAACGACAGGCAAGCTGTTCAATGAGACCCGAATGAGTCAATTGGGTGCCAAAAGACCGGATCAGTTGCGCGAACTTAATCTCAATAACTTAAATCCTAAGAACATGTGTCCCATTGCCGACAATTTCCCGACATTAACCAAATTATGCATTGATTTTCGATTTACTCGATATATAGGGACAGTAGATATGACTCTAGTGTTGGCCTCCATCTCACGTCTGATTCATTTGGAAGAGCTCTCGATAGCAGTGTCTTATTATTATTGTATCCAAATAGTCGACTTGGATATCGCACGACTCAAAAAGTGCCCCAATCTTCACACACTTCATATACGGGGCGCCGATATGACCGACAACTGTGTGAAAGCAATGGTTGACAATATCCCGCATCTCAGACATCTGGCTCTCTCTGAAGTGTACTTTGAATCGAAAGACCTAATGGCAGTTATGGCACCGATTCGTGGCGCCCGACACTTGCGGTCACTATATTTGCAACAGAAAGCAGAGGTGACGGACGATCTCATTGATTGGTTGGTTACTAACTGTTCGCACATTAATCGTTTGGATGTCTCGTATGGCAAATATGTTTCCACCGATGCGATGATGTCTTGTGTGCGGGTCTGTCGACAACAGCCCAACCGTGAGCTTCACGTTATAGTTAGCCCTCATCTCAAGAAACAATTTGATGCCTTGAATGAAGAAATGCCACAAAATTTGACTTTTGAATACAAATTATAGTTTAAGATTATATTTTCAATATTTAGGTACTTTCTTATGTTTTAAATTCACAAAATTGTCTTTTTTATTAAAAAAACAATAATAAATACAATTGCTCTACAAGTGTACTCATTGTCACGTTGATTATCATTACTTTGTGGTGAGTGTGTAAAACAATACATTTAGTAAAACGTGCTGTAATTTGTTTCAGCGACTTATTGTATATCTCGTTAGAAACATCTCAATAATACAAGTTTTTAAATTAATCAACTGTTGGTTTAGATCAAAAATTTAATAAAAATTAAGTTCAATAGAAACTAAAATAACAAATCATTAGACATATTATGGCATCAATTAAAGCAAATAAAAAGAAAAACAAAAGCAATGCGAGAGTTAAGGCATCGGTAGTCACAGGGGGTCCGTCCTCTTCGGCCATATATCAGACACGATCGCAGACCCGAGCGATGCGGCCGAACATCAATTTCTTACCCAATGAAGTGTTGGCTATAATTCTGTCCAAATTAGACCTCAAATCTCAAACGAAGGCCGAAAGTGTGTGCACTCTATGGCGACAAATAGTGAAAGACATGTTCGCAACAAAACGGACTCTTATTATAAGTGAAAATGAAAGCCAAACCGCAATGACAGAAGGGATGGATTGTATCTTTCCATGCGATTATGTGTCCACTTCAGCGCCGGAACAAGTGATCCGTAAGACAATCGCTCAAATTGTGGCCAAATTTCCGGCCATTCGGTCTATTGAGGGCATATTTCACGGGACATTAAAATCTAATCTCATCGACACTTTGTGCAACGGATGCGTCGCCGATATCCATAATCTATATATCACTCAAACAATGGAAGAACCGCTTCATATCACACGTTCAGAGACACAAATAGTGGTCAAAAAGTTCCCTAATTTACAAGAATTTTATATTCGTAGCGATTATGAAATAGTGATCTCTGAGTCGGCTATTAGTGTATTGTTGAGGGGTTTGCCGGCGTTGAAGAGATTCACATTGAAAGAACCGGCAGAGATTGAGAGACGATATCGAGGCACTGTGTTTAAGCACATGAACGCTGGCATACAAGTAATCAAAACTACAGCCTTTTTGTTCAACGCGACCGCCATTTCACGATTGGGCGCTAAAAGACCGGATCAGTTGCGCGAACTTAACCTCAAGAACTTTAACCCCGATTGCATGCCATTAATTGCCGACAATTTCCCGACATTACAAATATTAAGCATTAATTTCTGGTATACAGACTACGACCAGGAAGTCATTAACTTAACACAAGTGTTGGCCTCCATCTCACGTCTCGTCCAATTGCGAGAGCTGTCCATAACTGCGATCAGCGACTGTACCGAAATTGATGTTCAGGATATTGAAAGTCTCAAAGAGTGCCCTAATCTCCATACACTTACCATACGGTCCGCTCACATGACAGACGACTCTATGAAAGCAATGGTTGACAATATCCCGGGTCTCAGACAACTCACTCTTTCCATTGTTACTTTTGAATCTGAAGACCTAATGGTAGTTATGGCACCGATTCGTGGCGCCCGACACTTGCGGTCACTGTATCTAAAGCAGGATAAGGGTTTAACAGACACTCTCGTTGAATGGCTGGTCACCAAATGTCCTCAAATCAGTTTCATTGATGTAATGTTTGGCAATTTAACCATCGATGCGATGATGTCTTGTGTGCGAGTCTGTCGACAACAGCCCAACCGTGAGCTTCGGGTTGTGTTTGACTATTATCTCGAAGAAGATTTTGAAGCCTTAAATGAAGAAATGCCACCAAATTTAACCTTTGAGTACGAATTGTAGTTTTAGATTATATTTTCAATGTTTACGACTTATTGTTAAATTCAATCAGATTTCACAAAATTGTTATTTTATTTCAATAAAATGCTTTACTCGTCGGCATATCATTACTGTTGTCAATAGGGGTTAAAATAGGAAACACACCTAAAGTTATTCTATAATTTATAGCATTGATTATAAACTTATTGTTAAAAGATTACCCATTAATAGGCTTTAATTTTATGGATCTTTTATAAGTTATGTTTTGACGCATATTTATATAAAACGCGCTGTAGTTTGGTTAACAATTATTAAAACAATAATCAAAAGCGAGTGGAGATATAAAATGAATCCTCAAATACTGTAGTTATCATTCATGTATTCAATACTCAAAACATCTCAATAATAAAAATTTCAAATCGATTCAAAACAGTTAGCTTTAATTGTCTAATCAATAAACCAAATAATATTAAAACAACAACTCATAGGACTTTTTATGGGATCAAAGAAAAAGAGAATTAAAATGAGTAAAAGTGATGCGAGAGTTAAGACAATTACAAAGAGTCCGTCCAATGCGGCCACAGATCAGACACGAGTTGAGCCAAACATCAATGATTTTTTACCCGACGAACTGTTGGCTATAATTCTGTCCAAATTAGAC